AAAAAAAAAAAAAAAAGCTACCTCAACATGTTTGGTTCAATACCAAACTACACATCAGACACAGCAGTCTCAGCTTCAAAAAGAACACCTTTCCCATTATCAGCACTGGTCAAAACCAAATCAAATTCATTTCTTGGGTCTCAAATCCTGAAACTGGATTCCAGTAGCATTCCAGCAGACATTGAAATCTGCACAACAAACTGTTGCTGGAATGACTTACTTTGCTTGTTTTCTTCCAAGAAATATGTACTTGCATTATGCCTGTATTTGTGTCCTTCATTAGGCTACAAATTTAACACAACCAACTGTAAAGATGCAATTTGCCAAAGGATAGATCAAAATTCTACATTTGCTTCTCTTGAAAGCCTTTGATGACAGATACTTAGCTCCTACAATCACACCGGCTTGTTTTTCAAAGTGCTATTTATGTTTTAGCAGTACAATGAAATTGGTACAGTGCAGGAAGCTGTGTGTGCCAAGGTGCTGATCAGATCTCTGCCACCCGCACATGACGTGTCCTTGGATACATGAGAATTTCTCTGTGTCTCATTTTTTTTTCCACTTGCAAGTTAATAACCATACAGGGACCAGGGGGAGGACTGCCTTAATTAGCAACATCAGTTGTGCTTTTTATTCATAAGCCTTCCAAGTATTAACTCGTTCTTAGCTTCCATGGCTGTTTTTGCTTTGAGGCCGCCCTGAGGCAGCCTGTCAAACAAATCCCGTAGTTCGGGAGGGAATGCCAGGAAGCACGAGCGGCTGCTGTGCGCAAGGTTCCTGCCCTCCTTCTGCAGCCTTGTGCAAAGAGGGAACTTGCAGCAAGCCCGAGTGCTCTGTTTATACAAATTAAAGCTTAAAAGGACAAAGGGGCTAATAATCCTGTTCAATCAGGAAAGAGCGTATGATCTTTACTGACTACATGCATCCAGTACTTGCATATAAAATATCTCCCCTGAATAGCAGTAAATACTTATTTGAAGTAATGCTTCAGGAGAAACATCTAAGAGATGCTGCTACCATTCGAATACTGCAATTTATAAAGCACTTTATAGAGGAGTGACAACTTCTGAATGACTCCACAAAAAAAGCTCGTATGCCTAATCTTGTTAAAAGGTCCTAGGCTATATTCCTACAGCACCTCTCAGAATAGTACACTTCTCATTATGGATTTCACTTTAAATTGCAAGCTAATAAAGCAATTCAGTCAGCTTTGGATACATTACCAAATTGTCCTTTGGATAGTTTAACCTCATCACCAGCAGTATTACGCTTTCTTTCTCCCCTTTATCTCAACTAGACAGAGATTATAACAGTTTTTGTAGCACAGAGGGATTGCAAAAGAAGTCAGCACGTAAAAGTGCTAGATGTTTGACTGATGCAGTACTCTAATACAGAAAAAGTAAGCTTTTAGAACACAGGCTTCCCATTACTAGCCATAGCATAATAAAATAGGTCAGAAGGAATCATTATTCTTCTGTCTTACGCAAAGCATTGTAGGGGTTGAGAGGACTTGAGATGCACAACAAAATCATGCTGATATGGGCAATAAAATACAGCATTAAAAAAAAAAAGTGCCACTTATGCAGGAAAGTGCCTTTCGCTAGTCAGGCTTAACTCAAAGAGGGGGCTATCTAATTTCTTACTGAATAGCTACCATAAGGCAATAACCTTTGGTCTAGGTAAGAAACCCACAACTGACTGATTTCCTCTCGACCAAGTAATCCTTTGAAAAAACAGATACCTCACCCGCTTTAATCTAACACACAGGCTGTTCACAAGCGAAAACAAGTATCTTAGGCACATGGCTTTTTGCTTTGTCTCTCACGTCTTGCAACATCCGTTTTCATACTATTTGCCTTAGTTCATATGAATTTGTCATCTCTTTCCTCTGAACGGAAAAGTCAGAGACAAATGTTCAAAGCAGAAATGCCACGTGCTGTTTTTTGGCTAAAGCCTTATTCTTTCTTACAAGACTCTGAGGCAGAGATGAATATTAGGCCTACCCAATACTTTGACATATGAGCAAATGAGTCAGTATTTGAATTCTCCTCCTCAAGGGGGAAGGACTCATTAGCAACTCCACATAAGCTGATGGCATCTTGTTTGCATGATGCAAGAAGCTGCAAGAGCTCCCTTCCTTTCATGCATTGGTACAACCCAAAGACAGGAGAAGCTGCAGCTACCAGTGTGCCAAGCTCCTGCAGGAGCAGCAGCAGCACACAGACACTTGTGGCCCGGGCACTCAGCACGTGCACAGCAACACCTGTGAGCACTTATGTTATAGAACGTCACCTATGGGCATTAAGCATGCACACGCGTTGGACACTCACAGAAATGGGAAAGGAGAGAAGCACCTGACATGTACCGGCATGATTACTGCTGCAGGGAAAGCGCACATCTTCCATTACCTCGCTCCTCTGAGATTTCACTCTGAGCCATGACTGCTACAACAGAAATTCATTATGGCTTCCTTTAGAACAGATAATCATCAGTGCAATATAATTATTCAAGGTTTCTATCAGGGAGTGACAGCAAGAAGGCTATGGGAAAGAAATAAGACATGCTGTCATTGTTGAGAGGACTACAGAGACCTCTTTTCCCACTGGAAAAGCCTCCAAAACTGGATTCCATCTTTTTACCATTTTTTCTAAACTCTTTGTAAATACAGGAACCAAATCCCACACCGAGTATGTTGTGCTTGCAGTTCCAGATAATCCTCGTTGGATCATTCCAGGAAACAAGAAGCACATTAAAGTTTTTCAAGCTCTTAATGGGTGCCTTTGATAAATAGCCAGTGAAGCTTTCCTAGAACATCTCTGTCAGTCACCAAGGAGTTTCAGTGCAGAAAGGCATTTTGAGCACATTAATAAGCAACTATAAAAAGATCTCCATAAAGACATTGATCTGTTTCAAGGCTAGCCTGTAAGTTAAAGTTCAGTATCCTACAATCACTTAGTTTCCATTTCATCTTCTTAGGTTAGTCAGAAACCTGGGAAGAGAAAAAGAGATGGGATGGGAACAGCTTTAAAATTTGAGATCTGCTACTCTTACTCTTTAAAGTTTGTTATTTTTTTTAAAAAAATCCAAGTGGATTCAAGAGATAAAATGGTTCCACATTACATAAACATTCTCAACAATTCAAATGCTACCTAGTTCACAAGAGAGGCACTTTTCCCGCTAACTATAAGGATTTACTTCCTATCTGAGAAATGGTTTCCCAGCTTAGGAAATACCTGACCGAAATGGCCTGCACTGCCAGCTCTCCACGGGCTTGGAAAAAAAATTGAGTAATTCCTGTTAACCGGCAGTTACTTCTGTACTTCTCTTGGGTCTAAAAATGGTATCAGTTCAAAAGTCCATGTTCTCATTTTGTTTGCCAGACCAAAGTAACAGAATCTGCTTCTACAGACTCCATGTTACAACCACCAGTATAATCACTAACTCTCAACTTCTGTGAAAATACATGTAAAGAATGCTTTAGATTATGTAGATACCATTCAAACCAAATCAGGTGATCCTGTAAGATCTTCTTGGTCATATGAACAAAGATCAGTGACTGACCTGGAAACTTCTTCCTGTAAAAAGGAGGTTTCACCAGGTCAGGCCACTCCTGCAATAGTTTGGAGATGCTCTAGACCACATTTGCATGGTCAACTAATTTTCATCTAAGGCAGTAATTTGCAATGTTTTTCCCACTCGCAATGCACCTAGTCACACCACTTTTGAACTTGGTAAGCAGCTAGTCCATAGACTCAGGTCACAGCATCCCTCTTCCATCAGGACGCCAATATGGAACAAGCTGCTGCTTCTATGGAATCAATAGGAAGTTTTCTTGCGGCAGCCATAGCTTCAAAGGAAAGAAGAATGTGATTTTTAGCATATTTCTTGATCTTTCCTTTCTGTTTGCCAACAGAAAGCAAACTCGTGTGCTACAGGAAAGCTAAAAACAACAAACCCTGTGGTTTCAGGTTCTAAATGCTACTTAACAGGCTCGGCTGCGTTTCGCTTTCAAAAGGCAACATTCTGGGGGGCAGTTCAAGCAACTCAGCATGCCACAACCACGGTCCTTCCCTGGATGCCACCAGCCCTCGCCAAAGCAGCCCCGGCCACGTTCACACGGGCACTCAGGCGCCAACTGACACTTCCTCGAGACAACTCCCGTTTTCAGAAACGCGGGCCGCGAAGGCAGGAGGTGGCACAAGGCTGCAGCCCGATCCCGGGGACCCCCCGCCC